CTGGCCACCTGCACCCTGGCCACACTCAGGAAGGTGGTAGTTGAGGGCCCGCCCAGGAGGAGGATGAGAGGGGGCCAGAGCTGGCTGGCTGACTCAGCACCCTGAGGATGGAGGCTTCAGACTTAGGAGTCTCCCTCTCTGCTTTCCCTAGAGACCAGGGACAAGGCCGCCCCTCTGAGCCCCAAGCCTGTGAGCCAAGGTGGCCCCGGCGCCATGCTGGTCATGCCATTCTGGGGTTGGCAGAGTGGCAGTCCCCAGAATGAATCCAGCATCTAGCCATGGTGAAGGGACGCGCCTTGGAAATGGCCGCCTCCCACATCCCCCAGGCAGTCCCTACTTTGAAAGCAGCTACCTGCAACTGGATTCCTTTGTCTCTCCTCATCCTGTCTCCAAGTAAACAAGACATTCAGCTACTCAGGCTTTTCCTTCTTTCTGACACCTTTGGCTCACTTCCCCAGCTGTGAGTCGGACTGACCCCAGAGCCTAAGTACCCAGCCCTTCTCAGACACACTCCCTGACCTCAGCCATGACACTCAAATGCTTTTCCCCTACGGCATTCCATTAGGAAGCTTTTCAAACATCTGGAAAAGAGGCAGCCTTTGGACATCAAAGTCTCACCTCACCCCGAGGTCCGCCTGCTTTATCCCACAGCCGCTGCTCTCCATTCTCCATCTGCCCATCTTGTCTTTTTATGCTGACGTCAGTCTGCTCTGTCCCAAGCACTGCAGCAGGCACATCCTGAACCAGTGCTGGATGGTGTTTTTGTTGTTTTTGGATTTTTCTTGAGACAGAGTCTCGTTCTGTTGCTCATGCTGGAATGCGGCACAATCTCGGTTCACTGCAACCTCTGCCTCCTGGGTTCAAGTGATTCTCCTGCCTCAGCCTCCAAAGTAGCTGGGATCACAGGTGCATGCCACCACACCTGGCTAATTTTCTGTATTTTTAGTAGAGGCTGGGTTTCAACATGTTGGTCAGGCTGGTCTCGAACTCCTGACCTCATGATCTGCCCACCTTGGCCTCCCAAAGTGCTGGAATTACAGGCATGAGCTACCATGCCAGGCGAGTGCTGGATGTTTTGCAAGTAACATCCCACATGGAGTCACACCATAGAATGGGTGAAGGGGGAGCATCTGGGTTCATGGAATGGAGGCACCTCACCTGGAGCAACCACCTCACCCTGGCTTAAAAATGAAAAGCCCCTCGTCTGGGCACAGTGGCTCACGCCTGTAATCCCAGCACTTTGGGAGGCTGAGGTGGGTGGATCACCTGAGGTCAGGAATTTGAGACCAGCCTGGCCAACATGACAAAATCCTGTCTCTACTAAAAATAAAACAAGTAACTGGGCATGGTGGTACACACCTGTAACCCCAGCTACTCAGGAGGCTGAAGCAGGAGAATCACTTGAGCCAGAAGACAAAGGTTGCAGTGAGCCGAGATCGTGCCATTGCACTCCAGCCTGGAAGCCCCTGCAAGAGTCCTGGGTGAAGCAGACAGTTGGTCTCCCAGCCTCACCCTACATGGGCACCTGAGGCCCCTTTGCTGGGGCTCCTGCGCATTCTGAGGTGCATGGGTTAAAAACCCTATGGGAACCTCCCTGGCCTGGTTCAACCCGTCTTCTCCTGTCCAGTGGCGTCTCTCCCACAGTCCAGGTCAGAGACAGCTGACCTTGGCCACCACTCCACTGGGCAGGGAGCTTTCCTGCCACCCCCATGTGGCAGTGCAGACCATACCCTAGGGACCCAGGACAGTCATCCAGTGGTCAGGATTCAAAGAAAGAGAGAGGATGGGGACGGGAACATAGAAAAAGACCACCTAGCTACCTAGATCAGGGACATCAACCCAGCCTACACCAGGGCTGGTCTTCCTGGGGGTACTGGGATCTGCAGGACGGTGGAGAGGGTGCACAGGGACACCTGGGGTGGGGCACCTGTGTATAGTGAATGAATGAGGAAGTGAACAAGTGTAAAGTAAACGAATGAGGGCGTGAACAAGCGTGTAGCAAACGAATGAGGGAGGGAACAAGCGTGTAACGAACAAATGAGGGAGTGAGCAGGCGTGTAGCGAACGAATGAGGGAGGGAACAAGCGTGTAGCAAACGAATGAGGGAGGGAACAAGCGTGTAGCAAACGAATGAGGGAGGGAACAAGCGTGTAGCAAACGAATGAGGGAGGGAACAAGCTTGTAGCAAATGAATGAGGGAGTGAGCAGGCATGTAGCGAACGAATGAGGGAGTGAGCAGGCATGTAGCGAACGAATGAGGGAGTGAGCAGGCATGTAGCGAACGAATGAGGGAGTGAGCAGGCATGTAGCGAACGAATGAGGGAGGGAACAAGCGTGTAAGGAACGAATGAGGGAGGGAACAAGCGTGTAGCGAATGAATGATGGAGGGAACAAGCATGTAGTGAATGAATGAGGGAGGGAGCAAGCGTGTAGTGAACAAATGAGGGAGTGAGCAGGCATGTAGCAAACAAATGAGGGAGTGAGCAGGAGTGTAACGAACAAATGAGGGAGGGAACAGGCATGTAGTGAACGAATGAGGGAGTGAGCCAGTGTGAAGTGAATGAATGAGGGAATAAACAAGCATGTAGTGAATGAACAAGGGAGTGAACAAGCGTAAAGTAAACGAATGAGGGAGGAACAAGCGTGTAGTAAACAAATGAGGGAGTGAACAAGTGTGTAGTGAACGAACGAGGGAGGGAACAAAAGTAAAGTGAATGAATGACGGAGGGAACAAATGTGTAGTGAAGGAATGAGGGAGTGAGCAAGCGTGTAGCGAATGAACGAGGGAGGGAACAAGTGTGTAGTGAAGGAATGAGGGAGGAAACAAGCGTGTAGTGAATGGATGAGGGAGGAAACAAGTGTGTAGTGAATGAATGAGGGAGGGAACAAGCCTGTAGTGAATGAATGAGGGAGGGAACAAGCCTGTAGTGAATGAATGAGGGAGGGAACAAGCCTGTAGTGAATGAATGAGGGAGGGAACAAGCGTGTAGTGAATGAATGAGGGAGTGACCGAGGACCTCACTCTGCAAGCACCGACTGCAGGGACACTGGCTTGGGTAGGGGTTGGGGATGCCCATGGGGTCTGGTTCGAGGTTATGCACTCAGATGGGGGCCAGGCAGGAGGGAGGGTGGCCAGGAAGAGGGAGGCCAGGTCTCCAGGGTGTGGACGTGCTGGATGTGCTGGGGACGCTGAACACTGGCAGTCCAGTCCGGAGGCCAGACTGGTTGGATCCAGTGGGCACATTGACAGGTGGTCGTAACTATGAGGAACCCTCTCCCTCCACCCACCTCCACCAGTACCCAAAAGGACCTGGTGATTCCTTCTAATTTGAGGCGTATTTTGTACAGCAAAATGGAAGACCCTACGTCATAGCTCAATTCATTCTGACGTGAAGCACTCAGGTAACCAGCATCCCAGTCAAACGCAGAGCACTTCAGCCAGGCTGGCCAGGCACAGCTTCCCTGACAATAGGAACATTCCCTGTCTAACTGTCCCATTCAGGGGAGCCACGGGGCCACACGTGAAGCATGGCTGGTGCCACTGAAAGACTGAACTTTATGTTTCTTGTATTTTAATTAATTTTAAACTTAATTACATCAATTTAAAAGGCACAGGTGTGCTTTCACCAAAGCAGAGCATAGCCTGGGAGCTGCTGACCTGGAGCTGTGGAGTGAGGTGGCCACGGTGCTGACCTCACCCTCGGATGGGTGTTGCCTGCTCTTGGGTTCAGACTGGGGGGTGTGGAGGGCACCAGGAGCATCTCACCATTGAGCACCCCTCCTCCCTATGTGCGCACCCAAGCCCAGGCCTTCGGTTTCAAGCAGCATGGCACCCTAGAGGTGGCCTTCATTTGTTTATTCGTACTTCTATTGATGGATGGTTGGGTGGCTTCCAAGATCCTGCTCTCAGGCTCAAAGGCCTGGGAAGATTTCCAAACACGTCTCGTTGTGGACACTTGTTTACATCTGGGGGTACATAGCCAAGTGCAGGCCTGTGGGCTGGCTGGATGGTCCTGAGTTTCACAGCGATTTCTGCACTGGGTCACTCCTATGCCCCAGAAGCCAGGCCTCCTCCTCTGGGAGTCCCCACCTGACCCAGTCCCCGGCCTGAGTTCGTAGGTTCTAGCCTTGAGTCTACCAGTGGCTCCAGGTCAGCCTGGTGTGAATGCAGCCCATACAGTTGTGCTGGGCAGGAACCTAGGGCTGCGTCGTTTCCTTTTGCAGATCTGGACAGCTTGGATTCTGAGCTGAGTGTTGGGGACAGGGCAGGGCAGGATCCTGGCCTCCTCATAAAATCAGACTTCCAGATAAGACATGTAGAAAAACATATGGATGATATCAAAACATCTAGAAAAAAAAAAATGAAATAGCCAGCATTGAGTGTTTATTCAGCACACAGCATTGTGATATAACATACAGGCTTAAGGGCTGGGCAAGGGGGCTCATGCCTGTAATCCCAGCACTTTGGGAGGCTTGGGCGGGAGAGTGGCTTGAGGCCAGAAGTTTGGGGCTAGCCTGGGCAACATAGCAGGGTCTTGCCTCTACAAAAATGTGAAAATGAAAGTTAGCTGGCTGTGCCGGTGTGTCCCTATAGTCCCAGAAAATCTGGAGGCTGCAGTGAGCTGTGATCGCACGATTGCACTCCAGCCTGGGCAACAGAGTGAGATCCTGTCTCAAAAAAAATTTAGAAGGCATGGTTTATAAACATTATTTTAGAGGCCATAGAGAATCTTTAATAGGGATTCTTTTTTTTTCAGTCAGAGTTTTGCTCTTGTTGCCCAGGCTGGGGTGCAGTGGTGCGATCTCAGCTCACTGCAACCTCCGTCTCCTGGGTTCAAGCAATTCTCCTGTCTCAGCGAAATAAAACAATCAGATTTCCTTCATGATGAAAGCTGCATCTCGCCCCCCAAATGCGCTGGAGCCCCTGGAGTGGGTCTGGGGCCTACTAGTCTGTGCTGCCGTCCCGGCGCCACACCCACGACCGGCTCTTGTCCTCACAGGTCACTGGCAGTCTGGCCGCAGTACTCCTCCCTGGGCTTGCAGCCCATCCGGTGTGCCAGCATCCCGGGTCTGGTCCCCAAGCAGCTGCACTTCTGCAGGAACTACGTGATCATGCCCAGCGTGGCCAAGGGCATCAAGATTGGCATCCAGGAGTGCCAGCATCAGTTCCAAGGTCGTTGGTGGAACTGCACCACCATCCACGACAGCCTGGCCATATTTGGGCCCGTGCTGGACAAAGGTATGGGGTGGTCTTGGGGAGGGCAGGAGAGTCTGGAATGGGACAGAGCTTCCTGCCTGGTGCTCCCTGGCATTCTTGTCTGTGCACAGAGGGAACGGGCACTGGGGTCTTTCCCACTTACCTCGGGGAGGATGGTCTGAGGCTGGAGCAGGACTGAGCCTGCGGGGTCATTCAGGCACCCCTCCTCCTTCTGCTCCCTGGAGAGGAAAGCCGGCGTTCTTAGGGTGACTCCACCACTCCCAGCGGTGGGGCTGCTCCCAGGAGCCAGGGCACAGGCCAGGCTTGCAGAGGAAATACACAAACTTAAAGACCCAAAAGAACGGAGAGGTTTGGGGACACCCTGGGGAAGAAACAGCGACAGAAAGACAGAGAGACAGACAGAGACACAGAGAGAGACAGAGACAGAGACACACAGAGAGAGGAACAGAGAGATGGAGAAAGATAGAGACAGGGCCATGCAGAGAGAGACACAGAGAGAGAGAGAACACACACAGAGACAGACAAACACAGAAAGAGAGAGAGAGACAGAGAGGGATAGAGAGACTGAAGGAGAAAGACACAGAGGAATAGAGAGACAGAGACACAAAGATGCAGAGAGAGACAGAGAGACACAGAAATAGAGAGACAGAGTGACAGAGAGAGACACGCAGAGAGAAACTGAGAGACAGAAAGACACAGAGAGAGACAGCGAGACACAGAAATAGAAAGAGACAAAGTGACAGAGAGAGACACACAGAGAGAAACTGAGAGACAGAGAGACACACAGAGAGACAGAGAGACACAGAAATAGAGAGACAAAGAGTGACAGAGAGACACACAGAGAGAAACTGAGAGACAGAGAGACACAGAGAGAGACAGAATAGGCACAGGATTACAAAATTGGCATGTTTTTTAAAAAGTTGAAGTGGAATTCGCATAACAGAAAGTCCATGATTTTAAAGTATTCAACTCAGTAGCATTTGGTATATTCACAGAACTGGCAGCCATCACCTCTGCCCAGTTCCAAAATATCACTTATCACTCAAAAAGGAAACCCATGCCCCTTTAAGCAGCCATTCCCATTCCTCTCCCCTCCATAGCCCCTGGCACTCACCCACCTGCCTTCTCCCCTGGGACTTAGCTACTCTGTGGGTTTGAGAAATGGCATCGCTAAATACCTATCCTTTGCATCTGGCTTTTTTCGCTGAGCTGTGGACAGTTGATTCGCCTGCACTGCAGACAGTTTCAGCACTTATGCCTGTTCCTGGCTGAATAATATTCCATTCATAGATGATCCACTCTGGTTTATTCGTTCTTCAGCAGATGCACGTGAGTGTGGTCCCCACCTTCAGTGAGTAACACTGCTGCAGCCTTCTTGGACATATGTGTGTCTGAACACCTGTTTTCACACCTTTTGGTGTCTGTATCTAGGAGTGGAATTGCTGGGTCACAGGGTAATTCTGTTTCACTTTGAACTTAGGAGGTGAGTGCTACAATGGTCTGTAACCATTGCACTCTTTTCTGCAGTGGCTGCACCATTTTATGTTCCTGCCAGCTTTGTCTGAGGTTTCTGGCTTCTCCACATCCTCACTGACACACTGTTTTCCGGGGTTTGTGTTTTTCACTTCTAGCCATCCTCGAGTGTGATGTTGAACCTCCTGATTTCAGTTTGTGCTTCCCGGATGACTGATGACACCAAGCACCATTTCATGGGCTTTGGGGCCATTCTATGAAAAGTTTAGTCAAGTCCTTTGCCCATTTTTAAATTGGATTCTTTGTGTTTCTGATGTTGAATTGTGAGTGTTCTTTATATATTCTGGATACTGGGTGCACATCAGAGGTATAATTGGTGAATAGTTCTCTCTCATCGTGTAGGTTTTTTCATTTTCCTGAGATGTCCTTTGATACACAAAATTTTTTAATTTTAGTGAAATCCAACTTATTTAGATGTCATACTGAAGCAAGAAATTGCTAACCTAGGTCACAAAGATTCACATCTATGTTTTCTTCTAAGAACCTAATAGTTCATCTTTACTTTGAAGTGTCTCACCTAATATTTGTGTAAGGTGTGATGTAAGAATCCAACCACGTTCTTTTGCATGTGGAAATTCAGTTATTCCAGTACCTTCTATTGAAAAAACTGTTCTTTTTCCCATCAAATGGTCTTAGCACCCTTGTTGAAAATCAATTGGCCATAGATATGAAGGTTTATTTCTGTACTCTCATTTCCAGTCCATTGGTTTGTATGTCCTGTCATCAATAACACACTATTCTGATTGTTGTAGCTTTGTGGTATGTTTTGAAATTGGGAAGAGTAAGTTTTCCAACTTTGTTTAAAATTCCAGATTGTGGGGGGCAGGAAAAAAAGACTATTTTGGCTATTTGGGGTCCCTTTCAACTCTATATAAATTTTAGAATTGGTTTTTCCATTTGTGCAAAAAAAAAAAAGACTGATGGGATTTTCATGGGGATTGCATAAATTCTGTAGGTTGCCTTGGGGAGCATCACCTCCTTAACAATATTAAGTCCTTTAATCCAGGAGCTCAGGATCTTTCCATTTATTCATTTATTTAGGTCTTCTTCCTTAATTTTTTTCTTTTTGAGACAGGGTCTCACTCATTGCTCAGGCTGGAGTGCAGTGGCATGATCACCACTCATTGCAGCCTCGACCCTCAGGTTCAACCCACTTCAGCCTCCCAAGTAGCTGGGACTACAGGTGTGCACCACCATGCCCCACTGATTGTTTTATGTTTTGTGAAGATGGGGTTTTGCCATGTTGCCCAGACTGTTCTCTAACCTCTGGGCTCAAGCAATCCACCTGCCCTGGCCTCCAAAAGTGTTGAGACGACAGGACATGAGCCACTGTGCCTGGCTTCTGTAATTTCTTTCAGCCATGTTTTGTAGTTTTCAGGATATGAGTTGTGTACCTCAATGGTTAATGTGTTCCTAAGTACTTGTTTTCTTTTTTATGCTATTATCAATGGAATCATTTTCTTTTCTTTCTTTCTTTTTTTTTGGCTCTGTCGCCCAAGCTGGAGTGCACTGGTACCGTCCAGGCTCACTACACTGCCACCTCCCAGGATCAAGCAGTTCTCCTGCCTCCGCCTCTGAGTAGTGCCACCATGCTTGGCTACATTTTTGTATATTTTGTTTTGTTTTGTAGCGATGAGGTCTCTCTATGTTGCCCAGGCTAGTCTTGAACTCCTGGGCTCAAGTGATTCTCCCACTTTCCAAAGTGCTGGGATTACAGGCATGAACCACTATGACAAGCTTGAAATTGTTTTCTTAATATTTTTTCAGAGTTTTCTTTGCTGATACATAAAAATACAACTTTTTAACAAAAAATATATTTTCTTAGTTTTGATCCTCAACTGTAACTGTGGTTAATTTGTTTGTTAGCTTTGAGAAGGTCTTGTTGAATCATAGAATTTTCTACACATAGGTTGATGTCATCTGTGACTGGAAAGCACTGCAGTTCTTCCTTTCTGATTTGGTTGCCTTTTATTTTATTTTTTTTTCTTTCCTCATTGCTCTGGCTAGGACTTTCAGTCCTATGTTGAACAGAAATGGTCAGAGTGGACTCCCTTGCTCCTAATCTTAGGGTGAAAACTTTCAGCTGCCTGCATATATGGTATTGGCTGCAGGTTTTTCATTCTTTCTTTTTATTTGTTTATTTTTAATTTTTATTTCAATAACTTTTGGGGCACAAGGTTTTTTCGTTACTTGGATGAATGGTTAGTGGTCTGCTGAGATTTTAGTGTACCCCTCACCTAGATAATGTGCATTGTACCCAATATGTGGTGTTTTATCCCTGGCTTCCCTCCAGGCCTCCCGCTTCTGAGCTTCCAAAGTCCATGATGTCATTCTGTATGCCTTTGTGCGCTCATGGCTTAGCTCCTACTTGTAAGTGAGAACATAGGATATTTAGTTTTTTCACTCCTGAGTTATTTCACTTAGAATAATGGCCTCCAGCTCCATCCAAATTGCTGCAAAAGACATGATTTCATTCCCTTTAATGCCTGAGTAGTATTCCATCGTGTATCTATACCACATTTTCTTTATTTTAGTTTAGTTTTTTGAGACAGGGTCTCACTCTGTCGTCCAGGCTGGAGTACAGTGGCACAATCTCAGCTCACTGCAACCTGCACCTCCAGGGTTTAAGTGATTCTCCTGCCTCAGCCTCCCAAACAGCCGGGACTAAACGCACCTGCCACCAAGCCGCACTAATTTTTGTTTTTTTAATAGAGAGGTGGTTTCACCATATGGACCAGACTGGTCTTGAACTCCTGACCTCAGGTGATCTGTCCACCTCGGCCTCCCAAAGTGCTGGGATTACAGGTGTGAGCCACTGGGCCTGGCCTCATATACCATGTTTTCTTTGTCCACTCATGAGTTGATGGGCACTTAGGCTGGTTCCGTGTCTTTGCAGTTGGGAATTGTGCTGCTGTGAACATATGTGTGAAAGTGTCTTTTTCATATAATGACTTCTTTTCCTTTGAGTAGATACCCAGTAACGGGATTGCTAGATTGAATGGTGCAAATACTTTCAGCTCTTTAAGGAGTCTCCATACTGTTTTCCAAAGTGGCTGAACTGACTGGCATTCCTACCAGTGGCGTATAAGCATCCACCACATCCGCGCCAACACTACTATTTTCTGATTTTTTAATAATAGCCATTCTTGCAAAAGTAAGATGGTAGCTCACTGTGGTTTTGATTTGCATTTCCCTGATGATTAGGGATGTTGAGCATTTTTTCTTATGTCTGTTGGTCATTTGTGTATCTTCTTTTGAGAATGTACACCATGGAATACTACTCAGCCATTAAAGGGAATGAAATAATGTCTTTTGCAGCAATTTGGATGGAGCCGGAGGCCATTATTCTAAGTAAAACCTTCTCATGTCCCTTGCTCACTTTTTAATGGGATTATTTGTTTTTTCTTGCTGGTTTGTTCGAGTTCCTTGTAGATTCTGTTTTTTAGTCCTTTGTCAAATGCATAGTTTGCAAATATTTTCTCCCACTC